TTTATTTTTTAACTTTAATTATTTTAAGATAAAAAATCATTTTAATATTTAAAAATATTAATTTCATTAATCAAAAAAATTTTCTTTTCATTTCTCTCAAACTAAATATATTATTAATAATAATTAAAAACTTTAATTTGAATTAAGTATAAAAATCGTAACTAATTATAATAGTAATTTTAAAGAACATTTTATAAGTTTTTATTACCGAAATTTTTCCTATTTTTCTCTTTGAGCATTATATATAAATATATATATATATATATAGAATTTGGTGCAATCTATTGAATTTATATTCAAAAGAACAATAGACAAAATAAGACAAAACAAATGACCCCACATCATAATTTGATAATCTAAAAAATAAGACTTTTAGAATTTAAATAAAGAAAATGGAGTCGTTTAGAAAATTTTGATTGCATGCATAAATAATACTATAAATGAAATTTTTTTTATTAAGAACTGAGAAAAGAGGGAATAACATCCCGAATTTACGAAGGATGGATTCGGTTACATCAGTCCCCTACTCCCCTCTCTTCAGCACAAAGTGCAAATGACACACTCCACTGCCCTGCTAATATCTTTTGCCCATCATGGAAACAATAAAAATAAAATAAAAATTCCAAATTAACAATTAAAACATAAAAGAGAACGCAGGCAACATATGGGAGGTAGCGCCGGCCGTCTCTCTCAGGCACAGCAATAAGATCACTGCTCGTCCTCAGCGGCCCCAGGCTCGACGGCGGCGTTGTACTCATCCTCATTGCAATAATAAAACCCATTGTTATTGATGGCAGTCAGAGAGCAGGAAACCAGATACGGCGTGTTGTGGAAGGACCGTGCAAGGCTGCTAGCTAGGGCAGCGTTGGCCATTCCGTGACCATCATCACCGCCGGAATCGCTGTGCTCCGGCCCACAAAACTCCTCCACGCGGTGCTTCAGGGTGTCGAACATGAGCTCGGGCTCGTGCTGCATCACTCGGAGGACGTCCCCGCAGGATGGACCGGGCACCGCCCGTGTCACTGCGAAACTGTGAGGGCCATCGCTCTGTGACACCCGTACAACGCTTGGTCCACCGAAGAGATTGTGGACTCCACCGAGGGCCTCCTCGTAAGCCCCGCCCAAGAACATCCCCAGATAGTACTTGGCACGGCCACCGCTACCACCGTTGCCCTCCAACTCGTGTAAAGGCAAACTCGATTCACCACCAATGAACTTATCAATTTTCCCATCACTGTCACAGGTTATATCAGATAAAATACCTCTCACTCCGGGCCTCTCATCAAGTTTGTGAATTGGGACAATCGGAAAAAGCTGGCCGGCGCCCCAGAAGTCAGGAATTGAAGTGAAAAGGGAGAGATTCACATTGTAAGTACGAACAGGTTCGGATGCTCCAATTGCTTTCGTTACGAAATCGCATATCCCATCAACAGCAGCTAATTGTTCAATACCCAGAGACCCTTCTTTGAACTGTTCCACGCATCTTTGTTTCAATTGACCAACATCGACCAAACAGGTCTCGTACTCACCTGATATTACCGCATTCTGCAAATTCAGATAATCAGAACGTGCATCTTCCGGTAAAGCACGCCAGTCCATTGCCGGAGCAGAGGAAGCCCCCGAAGAAATGGCTTCAAAAATCAGAATGGAATGGTGGGACACTATAGCCCTTCCACTTTCGCTGCACAGCACCGGATGCTTGACAGCTTTCCGGTCACAAACACAGCGAACTGCAGTGACTACGGCGGCAGCATACTCTTCAAGTCCATAAGTAACAGAGATATCCGAGTCACCAGATTTGGATCCATCATAGTCAATACCCAAACCCCCTCCAATGTCAATGACCTGCATGTTGGCACCCAGGCGAACCAATTCACAGTAAATTTGTGCTGCCTCACCTACACCTTCTTGCAGAACAGAAGTGGCCGGGATCTGAGACCCAATATGAAAATGTAACAATTGCAGACAATGAAGCATTCCGGCATGCTCCAGCTTCCTCACAACACTGAGAATCTGGGTGGTTGTTAGCCCAAACTTCCCTTTCTCGCCGGAAGTAGACCCATAATGCCCAGAGTGCCTGGTTCTCAGCTTGGCTCGGACCCCAATAACAGGACGGACACCAAGCCTCTGGCTCAAATCAATCACCAAATCCAGCTCTTCCTCTTGCTCAAGCACAATCACAGTATTCAGAGCGAGTTTTCTCGCCAAGAGAGCAAGAGAAATGTACTCAGCATCCTTGAACCCATTGCAGACCAACAGAGCTTCTGGGCTTCCCTTGCAAAGGCAGCTCATGGCTAGAAGCAGTTCGGGTTTTGACCCGGCTTCCAACCCAAAGCGGAATGGAGATCCGAACCTCACAATACCCTCAACCACGAACCTGTCCTGGTTGCTTTTCACGGGGTACACGCCTTGGTAATAAGCCTCATAGCCCTGAGACTGGACAGCAAAGTCGAAAGCAGATTGAAGCGACTCCAGCCGGTTCTTGAGCACATCCGGCAACCGTACGATGAGGGGCAGCTGCAACCCAAGCCCGCCTACCGATTTCGGATCCGAAACCTTCTTCACAACCTTCAAAAGATCAATCTCCTGATGAGGAAGAGTTCCCGAGCCGTAAGGGCGGACGGAGATGTTGCCGGAGGGATTGACGGAAAAGTAAGGCTGGCCCCAAGCATCGATGCGGTAAAGGGCGGCGGAGAGAGAGGGCGTCCAGAGGGTGGCTGATGGGTTTGAGTTCTCAATGGCAGCCGCAGTGGTGGCGGTGGTGGTGGAGGAGAAAGGAACCGACGCGGCGTGGGAGCCTTCCCTAGCAAAGAGGGCAGCGTAGCCAGGAGGCGCAGCATCTACGCAGCTCGCAAGGGCCGGCATCCTGTAGGTCACGACGATCTAAAAGAATAGTTAGTTAAGAAAAAATTAATGGGGTATAGATATGATGGTCCTCAACAGTGGGGGCTTTAAAACCCGCCGAGGCCGAGCTACCCCCTCGAAAGAAGCAAAAGAAGACCCTGTTAAAACGGAAAAATCACCCTCT